AATTGTAATATTTCATCTTGCTAAATTGATGAAATATCTTTACAAATATAATTACATAAAGCAACTTAAGCCCCACTGCACTAATTTGGCCAGGAGGGATTAGACCCCCCCCCCCCTGCATGGTCACTAACAAATCAGCTCTCAATTAACACAATAAAAAGAGGATCACGGGGGACCAATGGTCACCGATTAGGCATTGTTTGCTATATAGAGGGCTTTAAATGATAAAAAACACAAATTTTAGCTCAAGAAATAAACAAATGTAACAAATCTCCTGAGGTACTGATGGACTGAATTGCCAATTAATATGAATATAGTAATTATACATATTAATCATAATGAATGGTTCTACAACGCATGCTGCTCCAATGGCAACTACTCCATGGTCTATTTCTCTGCACTAACCAAATTCCAAACTTCAACCTTGGATTCAATACTATAGTTAACCCTAACCCTAACCCATAACCGGATTCAAACCTGAAACCTAAACCTAACCCTATACCTTTGAAGACTGGGCATCAGGAGTAAGTTGTATCATGTATAAATACCCCTCGTTCACACCGATTATATTTATTGCACATAAATATCAGATACAACATATACTGTAGTTTAAATCCTGTGAAATAAATAATTTCAGGTTTAATAAGTTGCACAACAGTGATGTTTTCTTATATTCAAGAACTCAAAAACTCATCTAAAAATGTATCTGCAGCAGCAAGATGGGTTCATGAAAAAATGTGCAAAATTTCAGATAAAAAGACTCAAATGGGGTGAAAAAAAATTACACTGCCAGATGCAAAATTGAAATTTGAACAGAAAAATGACTTAAATTTCATTACTAATGATTCTTTTGCCACCATACTTTTAGGTATGTTTTCAATTAGGATTTTTAAAAACATTTCGGCCAATCAACAGTTTGCAGTATAATTTTTTTTAAATGGTTCAAGAATTTAAACTATTTCTTTTCAATCTTATATCACTTGTATCAAAGAAAACAGAGGGTCAGCAAGAAAGACACTATAAAAACTGCCCAACAGAGTGGGCTCCACCAATATCATTATGAATACCACTTTCACTACCATATATGTCAGCTCTTTTAAAACAGCAAGGTATTTATGTATGCCACACGTTTGTTCTTCTGTGGCCTTTATTGCATGAATACTAATCAAGTCTTGGTAAAACCAACATTTGTGGAAGCAGAAAGACAGGAAACATTATTGCTAGTAATGTTATGGGGCACCTGCACCAGTCATAGGAGAAATCATGAATACATTACTCTCAATACTTGGGACTGGGACTTGGTCTTTAGTGACAACATGGGCAATCGATTTTCATAAGCGTGTTTAATAATGGCTTAAAACAATGAAGAAAACAAAGAAGAAAAAAGCATAACAAAAACAATATAAACAAAAATATCCCCTAAAAACAAAGCAAAAACAAACAAACACACACAAACACACATTCTCACATCAGGGCCTTTGTGGGGCACCTGATTGTGGGGTATTTCTGTGCGTTCCAGATATACCTTGTGGTCCCCTACTAGTGGGGTATGTACAACCTGGCGATAACAACCCGGCGGTGTGTGCTTACGATGTTACCATAAAAAAGTGTGCACGTTTTAGCACACGCTCACAAAAAGTCATTTATGGGGTACCACTTCTAATGCCCCGCAGGGCATAGGACACCGAATATACAGTCATTTGAAAGACTTTACTCTGTGGGGTCCTGAAAAAATACCCCACATAGTAAAAATGCCTCACAAGGGGTATGTGAAGCGCACATAAAACCCCACAAGAATGCTGAGGTGAGAGCACACACACACACACACACACATTAACTGAGCATCTGCGTATCATGAGCACTTAAAAGTTAGTCCATTATCAATTCTACGGATAAAATGACAAAAGTTACTTCATAGACAATAATCACTGATAAAGTGATTCAATATATATAATATATATGTGATAATTAAAACAGTTGAAATAAAATTCCTGAGATTTTCTATTCACTATTACTGGTTTCGGTTTATTTTGTCACCATCTTACAAAATTAAATTGAAACCTGTAACCAAAACTCTGAGAGATTTTTATTTCAACTGTTTTAACTATTATTTTGATATTAAACTGCAATGGAGGAATTTTCAAACTGAATTATATACATAATCAAATCAAACATATACTTTTCAACCCTGGAAGACATCTGTATTTAAACAGGCAGTAAAACATGACAGGAGAATTTTAAAACAAAGTTAATCGCTCAAACAGTTCCTTTTTCCAATCCAACTAAATTCTAATGCATTTCCAAAATATCAAACATAGAGCCTTTTGAAACATTATTAAGTCCTGTATTTTGAATATCTCTTTTTTTAAAGAGACATTTAAATAAACACAGCCTCTTTGCATTGCAAGACAGGGGCTGAGAGTCATTTTTGTCCCTAACGCTCTAGAATACGGTGAATTGCAGTTTGGTCTAGAACCAGTTCGTCTATTCTGGTAACTATAGTCTACACAAACCCGTTCTACTATCCACATGGTCTTATAATCATTTGGTCTAACTTATCATTTGGTCTAATGATCATTCAGGCTAAAAGTCATTTGGTCTAATCTCCAATTAGTCTACAACCGATTCGGTCTGTTGTTCATTTAGTCTAATAATTAACCAGTTACCGGTAGTTCAATTCCTAGTTTGTGTAATGTCCATTTTGTCTACCATCCAAAAGGTCTATAATAATCATTCAATAATTATTATTATTTATGATTAAATGATTATCTGACCATGTGGATAGTGGATGGACTGGGGGGATTGGGGGGGGGGGGGGGGGGGTGGGGGGAGAGGATGTGATCAAGTTTTGAGACCCTACACCACATCCCTAAGCAAGATAGCATTTCTACTGCTACTTTGTTCTCTTTTTTCACAACTTTGCAAACAGATTGAAACTATAGAAGCCTCACACTACACAGTCCCCATACCAGATGGAACATCACTACTGTATAATTTACAAATAGAACTTTATGATAACAAATTAACAATACTTAAACAGCAAAAATTAGAAAATAAATAAGTTAGACAAGTGAGACAAGCCAGCCTTAATGATGATGAATCTTAGATTAACGCTGTCTCTACAACTCTACATTATTTCAGTAAAAAAAGTGAAAGAAACAATAAAGAACCAACACTACTGCATAAAACATTAAATGCGCAACAACAAATATTTTTATGGCACTTTGGGTGTATCATTTGCATACTGGTTACGGTAACTGGACTAGTCTCTGCATACAATTCCCCTTATAAACTATGCACCTACCTTATTGCAAAATATCATCAGTTTCAGATCCGAGGAATCCTCTAACTAAGGCACCTACCGGTAACTGTTACTTCCTAATCTTCAATCTTACTCATTACCAGGTGCTCATAAAAATCAACTGTACATTCAACAGAGATCATGCATATATCCCATTCAATTTACTATCAAAAAGACTACGTCTCCTATACAAAATATCCCTCTGCCCTAAATTCAGTATACTGTAGGAAATGGATGAAATCATTCAAGACATATCACGATGAAAACAAATAGTCTATAATCAAATGTCAACTGACGACTATGATCTTGACCTACTAGCACCAAAATGTAACTGGATCATCTTCCTATAGTAATACCGTCACCATGTTTAGAATTTATGATAGCAAGGCTGTGTGGTCTTTGACCTTTGACCTAATGAGACTTTCTTGATTTGATATCTGTTCCATTAAAGCTTGCTCTGAACTTTGACCTGCTTTTCTTTGGCAAGCATACTGGCCACATCCTCTAAAACTGCACAGATCTGTTCCAAGTACTGGAAGGGCACCTTCTTGTGGACTGGAAGGTACACACATGGTCTATCAGGTACTTGCCTCTTGTGGGTACTTCCCTGACATCACACTTGGGGAATCCCCTAAAGTCCTCTTTGGGGATTTCCCTGATGGTTCTAAATAGGCTTTGGTACCTCCTCCAGATGGAGAATTTGTATTGGAGGGTAGAGATCTGGGTTCCCTCTGGGTATTAGTTGCATCAGATTCTGCAGTGTTAGAGGAATGATTGACACCAGAAAGACCTTGTGTTCTTGAAGGATGGTTTAGAGTGTGTGTTGCCATGCTGTGATTGTTGGACGCCAATTGCATAGCAGATGTCTTCAGGTCACTAGCAGGGGGATCAAGGTAGTCGGTGCCATCAGACCTAGGAAATAAATCTAGTGGTGATCCTTCTGAAGGACTTTGTGCATGCGACTCACGATGAACATGCTGATGCGGTAGATGGCTGTATGATACTGAACATAGATCTTTGGTATCACCAGCTGTGCTAAAATGGGACTGCTGGTGCAAGTCTGAAGGAATTCCTGAGTTCCTATACTGCTCTGTTGTACTTGGCGACGTCATATGTGGTTCGGACTGTATTGCTGGGGTATTGCTGCTTTGGCTTTGAGCTACCCATGTCAGACCTCTTGAATGATTATTGCTTTGTCCTGTAGCCTCGTTAGAGTGAATACTAACATACTCAGCTCTTTCATCATTGAAATATTCCAGTGATCGATCTTGCATATTATCTTCATTACTTTCTAACGATTGGTTAGTTTTTGTTCTTGCTGTACTACTTTCCATGGAATTATCCACATGACCAGGCAATTGCTCCAGCCTTGCTCTATGAGATAACTCTCTATTATTGCTGTTGGATTCACTAGTTCCAGGCACTAACCTACGATCTGTTACAGGACTTGTTCTCGCGCTGTTTACATCCCCTGCTCTCAGCTGCCCTTCTGACAGTCCTCCACTGTGGCCAACACCAGGTTGTGTAGTTCCACTTGTGCCTCTGGGTTCTCCAACAGCACTTGTCCTGCCACAGGACGCAGCCTTGTCCACACTGGAAGTATCCTCTGCAGGTCCAGAGGAGTGGTCAAGGCTGTGCTGGACCTTCTCTAAAGGGTTGGCAAGGTTCCTTGGGATCACTACATCAGATTCTATCAGGTCCAACTGTGTTGCTCCTCTGTAGGCATCAACGCCACGAGCATTCAGCTCCTTCATTACCCTTTCTGGATTATCCTAAATGTAAAAAGAGAAAGAGAGAGAGAGAGAAAGAAAAATGTAGTAAATTATTGCTTTCTCGGATTAATGAAGAAATGAAATGCTTCAATGTGGCAGTCAACAATGAACCATATCAATATAAAACACTATAAATGCAATATAAAGCTTTGCAGCAAACTGAAAAAACCCATCTCATTTCCTATTCAAATTTCTTGTTTTTCTTCAATTAGATATACTAGTATCAGTGCTCAATCGAACATTCATATATAAAAAATAAAAGATTACAGTATAATAGTAATTTTCTGCTATCACTTGGAATATTTTGAACATTTTATGCACACACTCAAAACTCCTTTGGCAAACACCAGGGCCCGTCTTATAAGAGTTGATATCAATCGCAACTATGTATGTGAGAGATAGGAGACTGCAAACTTGCGATTGGTTGGAGGACTTATAATTGATTTAGATCAATCGTAACTCTTTATAGGATGGGCCCCAGGTACAAAAAGACCACCTGGTTATCAAGAACACACAATTTTGTTGCTCATTCCGCTTCACTCGACACAGGTGAAGTAGCTGGGTACCTGGCAGGTATTAATACCCTAAATGCTAGAGGGCCATAATGACAGCCTTGCTACAGCCAAGATAATAACTGTGACAGACATGAGTGCTTTACAAGAACTTACTACAGTGAAAACTGTCTATAAAGACTCGAAGGGAGGCAATAAAAGTGGTCTTTAGAGGCAGGTGGTCTTTATGTACAGGTAACTTTAGTACAGGTTTCAATGAGAAACCACATTCAAAGGGAACAAACAATGTGGTATTCAGAGACAGGTGGTCTTATTATATGGGTGGTCGCTAAAGAAGGTTTCACTGTATTATCATTATCAAACATGATTTAAAGGTAATACAAAGTTTTGGTATGGGGTTATAAATTTGCTTCAAATGAACATATTGGAAGCATATGCCATCCTAAAATATTCAGTGATCGTTGTTGCGGTTGAAATTGAGTCTAAAGTTATGACATTGCAATTAATAAACTCTTTAAGTTGTATAGCTCCCTCTCAAGGTCAAGATATTAATTAAGCTAAAAAACAATGTTTCTTGAATAAAATCAACCGATTAGCTATTCCCGTTTGGAAATAATACATCTCAACTATATATTCTGAGATTTCCATAGTCGGAGCTACCACTGTACGGCCGTAGGCGCTATTTACGTATTACGTATTTACGTATAATTACGTAGGCGCTATTTGAAATTTATCAAAATTTACCGGGAGCACCGGTAAATTTTTCTATTCAATTTCTCTCGAAAGCAGAAGTGTTTTAGGAGCTAAATTTTCTAGTGCTTATTATATATCCACAGGGGCATTCGAATATATCAAAATTGTAAAGAACCACTATCCACCCAATTTTCAGAATTTCCCAAAACTTTGTATTACCTGTAAGGAACCTGTACATAAAGACAATCTGCCTATAAAAAAAACTTTCCTTCTCTCCCTTGAGCTGCCTTAACGCCGGGTTCCAATTACAGTTCATTATAAATGACAGTAGAGGTGTAGGTCTGGGTGCGGAATGTGTTCAATAGGGAAGCTACTAATTATGTGTGCAGACAGATATCATACATGTGTACTAACTGTCATTTCCTGTCTCTGCACTGAGTCCTATTCACTCAGGGAGACGGATAATCTAAGCATTACCTGAACACCACAAGTACAAATCAGCAAAGAGAGATTCCCCCTTCCTTTTAAAGGCATCGTTCAACAATGTTAAATCTAAGATGCATCGCCCTACATGTTATCAGTGTTTGTGATATGGTGTAATATTGAAGCCCTGAAAAAAATTGTGTTTCAAAATGATCATGAAGTGCCTCAAAAAAGTAAAAGTCTTTGAGTGTCCGGTTTTACCATACTTATTTTCCCCAAACGACTGTAATGTTTTTGAAATTTCAATTTCCAATCATAAATATCTTAGATAATCAGACAGGTGATCGGCTTGTAAGAAAGAGTCATGGGGTTCCTGACTGACCTACATGTAGAGGTTTATAATTAGCTTTGCAGCATGAGCTAAATCCAGGATTTTGTTTCAGAATCTGAGACAAAGATACCCAATCCGTTTAATCCTGATGGTACATGTAGTGAGTCACTGAGATTATATTGTGTATGCATAAACCAAACAGTCCAGAAAAGGGACCCCCTCCCCCCACCCCACCATCATTGGACTGAGTCACTGAGATCATATACACTGTATGAATAACTGAACATCACACACTGATCACTGTACCCCCCCCCCCCCCCTCCTAACTATGCCATCTAACTGTCAGCTGATTTTGGAGGAGAACAAAATGTAGTAAAATTGATGACATGCTAACTATAGAAACATAAAATCTCCCTGACTATGTTTTTTACAAAGTAAAATCGTAAATGTTGGGTACCTGTAAATGGGTACCTGGTAGGAATTTATTCCTTGAAATGATAGAGCACCGTATGGCAGTCGTGCTAAAGCCAAAGTATTAATCAGGAGCGCCAGGAGGGTCAAATCTGACTGACATGAGCCCTATACAAAAACCCACTATTATTATTATTATTATTGTGAGACTACTGGTACAAGAAAAGGCCTTACATTTACATGTATCTGCAGTGATAGTGATTCATGGTAATATCTGAGCAATTGCAAGACGGTCCTTGGTTGACCTTTACAAGACTATTGCATAACGTTCATATAGCCTCAAACTTACTGGTACATTTGTGGTTGACTCTACTGAAGCACACATGTACATGTAATATGAAGTAATTTTTTTTTTCTCACCATAGTCCAATTGATGGTGAATAAATATACAGGTATGCATGTAAGTCTCAGCACTTAATAACAATAAGAAATGTAAAGGAAGTAAAATCAAATCAAGAATGCTAATTCAAAATGCATAAGTAGTCATAAATCACAAATGAACAAAATGGTAATCACACCCGGCCCCCCACTCAGTGTTATTTAGGGTACGCATATGCATGTTCCAACGGACCCCCCCCCCCCCTTTTCAGAAAAAGTCCGGTGTGTAAAGTCAATATGGCTCGACCTTTTCCTTTTGTATACGAGCCTTTTTCAGCACCCCCCTTTTCAGCAAAAGTCCGGTGTGTAAAGTCAATACGGGTCGACCTTTTTCTTTTGTTACGAAAAGGACATTTTGGCAACACGCATGGGGTCCATCCGTTCTCGGAGTGGGGGGCCAGGTAATCACAAGAACCAAGCCAATCAAAATGTGTTGGACCAAATGGTCTGATTGTTCAGGTTACTTTCAGAGCAACTTGCTTCTAACTATGTAGTTCTTGAAAACAATGATAAATACTTACGACCAAGATAGGAAAGAGCCAATAGTTTTGTTTGTCAGCCTTCTGCCCCACACCCTGTATTCCAGGTGGAAGCCTCCTAGATACAATGTCCCCTTTGATGTTACCCAGTTTGAAGGAGCTCACATCAAAGTTCTTTAATCTGTCAAATAATGTTCAGGAATGGTCAGTTTTTTTTCTTTCTCAATATCACCTATATTGTGTGAAAATTTGTTTGAATGGGAGTTATAACTGCAGGGCAGATATATACATCCTATTCAAACATTTTTAGGTGATCTTCACATAAAAATGATTCTAACAATGTTTTACACTTCCTGATCCATCAGAATATGAAATTTTAAAAATGAGAGATATGTTCCCCATTAGAACAAATTTAGTACTCCCTTGTCAAAGGATATTCCTACCAAGTTTAGTTAATATCTGGCAAAGCATTTTTGAGAAGTCGAAAATGTGAACCACCATTTTTTTTTTTTTTTTTTTTTTTTTTGGGGGGGGGGGGGGGGGGGTTCTTAAAATGATAAGAAGTACAACATGGTGATTCTACCACAAATGCTAGTGACAATCGTCCCAGGATGAATATCCTCACTTGATTGAATTCCTAACTTTCACATTTTACCCAACACTATAACCCTAAAACTAACGCCAACTCTGAACCTAAACTGGCTGCAACTTAATCACAAATTACCCTAACCCTAACTCTCTAGCCCTCTATCTTTGATGAGGTCACCTACTCCGTAGAAATCACGAGGCTAAGAAAGAGTATCAACCGAACGTACCTCCTGTACATCATGAAAAGCAGAGTAACACTCGGCCTCATCCTGATGCTGTCAAAGAAACCTTGGGGGAATCCCCGTATGGAATTAACGATGACATCACGATGGTTGATCCCCAGCGCATTGAGGAGCAGCGTGCAGTGCTTGACAAGGAACGGTGAGTTGATCAAGGTCATCAGGAACGAGTACTTGATGAGTTTCTTGAGGTAGACGGTGCGCCCTCTGATGGGGTAGGAGTGGTAGAGGGTGCGCATCTGAGCCAGGAGACGCTGATCTCGCACCACTGCTATGGCACCTGGGTGATTCAAACAACGTCAACAGAAGACAAAAATAATTTTAAAAAAAAGAAAAAAAGTGCATCATAAATTAAAACGAAAAGAAAGAAATATCTTCTGCAAACAACACTGTTTCTAGCACAAGCCACATAGTTTGAAACGGTTAAAAAAAAATTAACATTGGCTGGCTGCGTCGATTTTTAATACTTCATAGACTTTTCAGCCGGATTTATCAACAATCAATAATGTTTTGGACTTCTTTGTATTGTGAATACTTTGGGGAATACACCTTACAAGTTTTTAGCAAACTTTTTAATAGTTTCCATTGTCCCTTAATCACACTTAATCTTACCGGTACTCTGTATATATCATTGTCATTGTTTTTTAATGATTGAGGTGACAAAAATTCAACCATTGAACCATAACTATCCCCACTAAATAATTGACATTTTGTTGGGTATATTTTTTATCAAAATACCCTTGTAAAGAATTGAAAATGTAATATGCTGTTTGTCAAACAATTATTAGCTGATTGTGTTTTGGGTGATGGTTGATCTAGATCTATAGCCCCCAGGTGATTCTGACACTGTACTATTCGGCGCACCTGGGGGTCATGGCAGGATGCAACATCCCCTTGAGCCTATAAAAACAGCCAGGCCTCTCATAGCAGTCAATATATCTATACTAATAGGGACTTTTAGATTTGCACAACGATAACGTGGATTGCTACGATCGACGTCCTTTTAATGCACTGCCTTGAATGGACGTCACACGTATCAGTCCACACAAATCTAAAAGTCCCTATTGTTTCCCGTACAACTGCCTACCTCCAAAGGCTGTACAGGTCTTGATGAGACCAAAGCTGAAGAAGGTGACATCCGCAGCAGGGTGACCATGGTTCTGGATGCCGCTGAAGGCCTCTGCACAGTCCTCCAGGATGTCCAGGCGATGTTCCTTTGCAACAGCAACGATGTCTTCCAGGTCGACCCAACGACCGTAGAGGTGGGCAACAAGAATGGCTACCGTCTTTGGGGTGATGAGAGATTGCAGATGATCTACCTTCACAGTGGAACATAAATAGTGTAGTGAACCAATCATCATTTGTATATTGATCACTCTTTATTATTTATTAGCTTGATTAGTGTGACCCTATGTAGTCTATACAGCCTACTGCATTCCATAAGCCCTGTATGGGGGGCCGTTGGTGCCATTATTATGAACAAATATACACCTATCGAGTAGATGCATAGTTGTATACCGGTAGTTGTATAGTTGTATAGTTTCCTGTGTTCTGATTGTTAAAACTGTACAACTATACAACTATGCAACTATGCATCTACTCGATAGGCGTATAGTTGTATAGTTGTACAAAATAATGGCACCAACGGCCCCCATAGCCCTGTTCATGTATATTGACATACAGTAGTTAGAGACTGACAGAATTACTGTAGGCTGAGCTCAAGACTTTATAGAATTTATTATTTTTAACTCTCTAATCTGAGTCTGTGTATGCAGACTAAGCTTAACTGTATTTTTAATTGTATTGTAAATTGTATTTTTGGGGTCATTTACAGAAATTGTTCTTTTGTCTCTTTTTTTTTTTTACTGCAGCTATGCCACCGCCTATTGGAAGGAAGTTAGTACCTTTGGGACCAATGTCTCTATATCCACATCGAGGGCAACCAGCTTGATGCCGTGGTGCCGGACAATCCGCGCCATGTCGGGAATGTTGATAGCGCAGAACACCATCTCTGAGCCTCTGGGGTACTGCTTCGCCGAGAGGTAGAGGTCAAAGGCCGTCCGCACCGACAGGCAGGGCAGGATGGGGGTGGGCGTGGCATGGGCGTGGTTCCACAGTCGGTCCAGCTTGTACTCTATCAGGCTCCGGTGGTGGCCTGGTTCCATGGAGAAAGGGATGGCTGACAGAATATCGCTCCATGATGCATCTTCATTGATAAGGAAAAAAAAAATCAATCTTGATTGTTTTTTCTCTCTTGTTAATTATTGTAACGGTAGGTGTTTTAGTTGAAAAAAAGTATTATAAAAATGTATGAATCAATGTAATGAATCCTTACAATTTGTTTGATAGATAACCAGCAAAAGAATACTAATTATGAAACAATGGTTTTCTGTTAAAAATGCAATACTTTAAAGGTACTATGTCCCATTTGCAGGCCAAAAAAATGAAAAAGTTATCCCAACTGCATTTGAAAGATAATACTAATTTAGAACTTCCCTAAAAAAGGTGGGGCTTGAAAATGTCTTCAAGTGGGAAAATAACAACTATTAGTTGTCAAATCGACTTCAGGGCTATAGAGCCCAAAAGTAATAGTCTTGATTTTCAGACAATTGTACCGAATGGTCATACATGTACGTTTTATGCTGTGCAAAGATTCAATCAGTTTAATCTTGGCCATCACAAGAAGTGGGTTATTGATGTAGACAAATGCTCATGTACCCTTTACAACTCTTTTCATGTATGTTATTACCAAAGAAGAAAAAAAGCCAGTCAGTCACTCAATAGTGTCTGACAGTGAAGTCTAGCAAGTAAACGGGTTTCCTTGCATAATTTGAATATGAGGACACTGCTAACGTTTAAATTTCACAGATAGGACATACATGACATATTCATAATTCCTGCAAAGTTCGACAGCATTTGAGGTTGGCTGTAAAAGGGACATAGTACCTTTAATACTGAATGCATAATAAAAATTTAAGTTTCTGTATTACTTGTCATCATTTATCCTCTTCTTTTCCCCTCTTTTTCTCTTAATCGTTTTATTTCTCTTCCTCTTATTCATCCTCCTCTTCCCCCCTAATCTCCATCCATATTTCTCTTTCTCTTCAATTCCCTTCCTCCTCTTTCTTTTCCATGTTCTTTTTCTTCTTCCTTTCCTCTTTTTCTTTTTATTCCCTCCTTTCTATTTTTCTTCTTCTTCTTCTTCTTCTTCTTCTTCTTCTTCTTCATCTTCTTCTTCTTCTTCTTCTTCTTCTTCTTCTTCTTCTTCTTCTTCTTAAAGCTGAGAACTAAAGGTACTTTAATTTGGCCTTTATGATAGCGAAGCGTTGTTTGTCGTGCAAACATTTCATATATTCTACACAATTTGTAATCTTTTCATTTCAGACCATGAATACCAATCAGTTTCCCATCTACTGTTTACAATGTAAACTCTTTATAATTCACTCTACTGATTTTCTGAGTCCACATATGTTCACCATGGAAGATCTTCTGCCTCCATTTAAATCAAAGTTAGCATTCAATTACAGTAAGATTATATGTTTGTACATGTACCAGTACATCTCCTACAGTATCTGAAGGTGAACAACTAGTAACAGATAGAATGCAGATGTTTCAATTGCTGTAGGGGAAAGCATTATATTTCATTTGGCTCAGTAACTTTGTATTCAGACCCCTACAAAATATGTATACCAGATGCATGAAAAAATAAATGCAAAAAAAGGAAAACAGACTTGAAAATCCCTTAAGTTGCAAACACATTGAGAGGTTCAAAATCATTCCTTTTTTGCTCGAAATTGGCACTTTTGTCAACTTTTCAGAAAAATGGGTTCACAGACGTTACATTTTATTAGAATATTGTAGCATTACAAGAAAAGTGTTATTGTTGCCAATTTGACGAGCAGTATGGGATCAATTTAGCCCTGTCCCTAAATGCTGTCCAAGTTAGGACAGTCATCTTGAGACATCTCTTGAAATGAAAGTGGACTCCGGTCTAAGGACAAGACATAATTACAGGTACATGTACACCTGCAGTTCTTCTTCGGTTGAAGGAAAGCTAGGCCACCTGGCTGTCAGGAAGCAGAAACTTTGTAATTTTATAGAAAAATCCAACCTGTGTAATAAGTTTATATACAGATACTGTATGTATGAAAGCAGAAAAATGAGAAACAGAATGGCAAAAGTTTGAAATAGATTGGACGAATAATAAGAAAATTATGAATGTTTGAAATATGAAATGACTACAAAATCTAGGCAAATCTCAAATTGGTAATTTGTCCGAGGATTGTGAGCGACAAACTCATAGTCTACTCCATTTGTAGTTTACAAAATATCACTAAATTCTGTTTATCTTCTATGTGCCTTCTCTCTTGGGGCACTACTCAAAACACATTATGGATACTGGATAGCATATAGATACTGGATACATGACATGTAGCATATTATTATAGGTCCTCTATTAGAGGACATACTGACATTCAGTCATTTTGGAGTTGAAACAAATTATGGGAAAGTTGTCCGGCACTACGTCACAGAGACATCACTAATTCAGCCATTTTGAAGTGCCCATGGTAAAGTGATTACAACTTTAAAAAATTAACACTTTCTTATTTTCTGTCCGATTTCATTCAAACTTTTGCCAGTCTGTTTCTTTTAGAGTGGTTGTCTATTAAAGGTAATACAAAATTTTGGTATGGGGTAATGAATTTGGTTCAAATGAAGATATTGGAAGCATATAATCCTTCAATATTCAGTGATCATTGTCACTGTTGAAATCGAGTCTAAAGTGATAAAATTGTAAATAATAAACTCTTTATGTTGCATAGCGCCCTCTCAAGGTCAAGATATTAATTAAGCTATAAAACAATGTTATTTGACTAAAATCGACCGATTTGCTATTACCGTTTGAAATATATAGTATATATCAGATCTGCATATTCTGAGGTTTTTATGATCGCAGCTACCATCGTCTCGCCGTAGGCACTATTTTAATTTATCAAAATTTACCGGGAGCATGGTAAATTTTTTAATTCAATTTTCTTGAAAGCAGAAGAGTTTTAGGGGCTAATTTTTTAAGTGCTTATAAACTACTTATAATACATCTATAGGGGCATCCAAATACATCCAAATTGTAAAGAATCACTATCCAGCCAATTTTCAAAATTTACCAAAACTTTGTAATACCTTTAAGGTTGGATTTTCCTTTAATGGTCTTGATATGACAATGTTGGGTAGGAACTACATGTAGGAATGTACCTTTCTTCAATGGTACAGTGAATACAAATACAAGCGCAAAACCTCAGCATTCATATCATCAACGTTAAGAACCCACTGCACTATCCGTATAAGAGTAGTGGGGAACCCCGGTGTAGTGGTCCACCTGCACACACCCCCAGTATAGTACGATAATACTCTGTAAAGAGGTCTGTACTCAACAGGAAGAAGAAGGAACATAATTTCTGCCATTTATAAGTGATCATTGAAGGTGGTGAGGCACAACAGAAGCATTATCAAATGAATTTGATAAGGGCACACATTGCAGATACAATGAAAAATTCATGTGTGAAGTACATCCTGGTTCATGTTCATTCCATAGATCTCTATCCATTTCTAAACTTGTATGTGGATGATTCTTGAGCAAACTACCAGTATTACTGATGCAAACAATTTCTCACTACGGTACAGGACTTTGATTTTCCAACTCCATTGATATCCTTCTGATTTCAGCAATGTACACGTACACGTACATAGTATCAGGTTATTGCATATGAACTATTAGGTTACATGTTGCATATGTACCAGGACATCTTATATCTTGGAGTTACAAAGTAGTAACTGATACGATCCAGACATTTTCTTAAAGCAATGCTGTCCGAGTTGGGAAAGTTATTCATAGACCGAAACTACCTTGCATTCAGACTACTCAAATTCTTTGTATAGATATATATACACGTAGCTATACAATGTACATTTTTTAGTGTGAACATCATATAATGAAATGACTGTTAGTAGAGCATCGTTTCAAATGAATACTGAAAGAATTAGCATCCTGTTGTAGTCTGAACCTCAAATTGTACCATGGTCCTATAACTGGGCGGGGCTTAATGTGACCGCGCACACGTGATTGATTGCCTGGCTGTCATATCAACTGACCTTGTCACTCAATACCAGTTCTTTACATCAAGTTTTTCTTTATACAATGTTGTTCTCTAATCTGTAAGCTCGTTTTGCAATACAATGTTCTTTATAGATGTTTCTACATGTAATGAGTTTTGTATTTTTTATAAATTTCCTATATATAGTCTGAACATATTTTTAGATACCGGTTGGTACCGGTACTGGTTCAAGGGCGAGACAAAATACAGGTACATATACTGTACATGTAGTTTCATGGCCTCGATGTGAAAACGATTGAAAGGAGGAAGTGGAACCCATGGTCAACTTACATTCAGAACTCCACAATACTTGCAAACGTTTTATTTCAGTTTGGTTTACAACCAGTTCGTCCACTACCCAATTGGTCTATTCCCATATGGTCTAATGTACATGTACACTGTAGCATGTCTACTGTCCTCATCGGTTAATGACAATATCATCTTCTCATCATTTGGTCTATTTAGGCTAAATAGTCTTTTGATCTAATTTCCATTTGGCTTAATCTCTATTATAAGTCTACTACCCATTTGGTCTATAGCCCATTTACACGTAGTCTAATTTCCAGTTTGTCTAATGCCGATTTTGTCTACAATATGGTTTAATAATCGTTTGAATCATAAATAATAATAATCATCAATTCTCATATGCAGCCAGCTGCCAGAGCTTTGTCTGACCAAGCAACAACTTTATGTATGCAGACCAAATAAGACATTGCTTGACTGTTTGAAACTTCTGAATCGAATAGCTTGTCGCCAGAGGTTATGAGATAACATTAATTCATTTGAATGCATAATAAATAAAATATGTACAGGTATGTAGACTATTACACAGATCTAGCCGATTATACAAGTATGAAGCCACCTGGTTATATCAATCGATACCAGTGGCCTATTGCAATGTTATCACAATTAAATATCTCTTGCACAAATTGAAAGACAAAACCAAGTTAACTCACATGCTTAAAATTCTAATGGATGACTTTTAGTTTTACAGTATCCATGACTTTCACTAACATCCTCCCAAGAAGTCCCAACAAACTTAAACGAAAAACATGTTATAAGGCAAATTCAGAAGCCTTGCTAATCACCCTGGAGTTAACATGATGTTTATGTAGCATGTACACTGTAGACCAACAACAAGTCAATTGCTAATTCAATTTTTCCTCATTCAAAATCATTCAAACATACAATGGAATGTTATCCTTTTATTCATTTCTTCAGCATGTTCTGGTTTAATTCACTAGACTGTGATCATACATGTAATCCTTGGACAAAACAAACCCCTTTCCTAGGCCTAGACCTATACAACATTGAGTATTAAAGTAAAGTAAAGTAAACTAAGCTGGTGTCTACAAACTGCTTTCGTCTCTCCAGGTACATAAAGCTACTGGACCAGACAAACTGCCTGCACAACTACTGAAGACGCTGTCATTGGAAATAACTCCAGTGTTGACTATGCTTTTCCAAGCTTCGCTGAATCAAGGAGACGTCCCAGAGGACTGGAAGAAGGCAGACGTAGTTCCCATCTTTAAGAAGGGAGAGCGGTGCCAAGCAGTCAACTACAGGCCAGTGTCACTGACATCTATTATCTGCAAGACACTGGAACACATCGTATGTAGCAGTATCCTTGAGCACCTTGATGACTTTAACATTCTGTCAGATGCTCAACATGGATTCCGGAAGAGACGGTCTTGCACATCCCAACTTCTCCTCACTATTCAAGATCTTTCCAGTGGAATTGACTCGAGAGACCAGATAGATGTAATCCTGTTGGACCTATCAAAGGCTTTTGATAAGGTTCCGCATGGAAGACTCCTACATAAGATCCACTACTATGGAATCCGAGGTAGTACCCATAACTGGGTTGAGGAATTCCTTGCAAGACGCTCACAGAGGGTATTGCTTGATGGATGCACTTCTCACACCTCTCCCGTCCTGTCGGGCGTTCCCCAAGGCAGTGTAGTCGGGCCTCTTCTCTTCCTGCTGTTCATCAATGATCTTCCTGACTGCATATCAGCGAAGTCTACAGTGAAATTGTTTGCAGATGACTGCATATTGTACAGGAAGGTGTCAAGTGCAGATGATGCTGAATGCCTGCAGAAGGACGTAGATGCACTCCAGGAATGGGAAGCAGACTGGCTAATGCAATTCCACCCTCAAAAATGCCAGGTTATGCATGTCTCTAGTAAAAGGCAGACATCCAAAGCCTCCTTTCCTTACTTCATCCATGGAGAGCAGCTACATGTAACAGAAACTGCAAAGTACTTGGGGGTCCACATCCAGAGCAACCTGAAATGGAATCACCATGTAAACGTCACCACCAAAAAAGCCAACTCTGTACGGTGCTTTCTGCAAAGAAACATGGGGGCCTGCCCACAGAAGACCAAGGAGTTGCTGTGCAAGACATTAGTACGCCCTGTGATGGAGTATGCTGCAATAGTGTGGGACCCGTCCACCCAGGAGAACATCAGAAAGGTGGAAATGGTGCAACGCCGTTGTGCACGCTTCGTCCTGGGTGACTATCGGCGCAGAAGCAGCGTCTCAGCCATGCTGAATCAACTTAAATGGGTAAGTCTGCAGGAAAGAAGGGCTCAGCAGAAAGTAGGCATGGTTTACAGCATACTCCATGGCCTGGTTGATCTTCCAGTCACCTACTTCATACCCGTTGTTGGTCCCAGCACCCGTGGAAATCCACAGAAATTCCATGTCCCCTTTGCCCGAACTCTGCTATTCCAAACCACATTCTACCCAGATACTATCCGACTGTGGAACTCCTTACCATCTGCTGTCGTCGATTGCACCTCTTTGGAACTTTTCAAGCAGAAGGTGCAACACATCAAGCTCCGTTGAGCTTCAGACTGTTTTTTAGCTGCACATAGAATTCTTGTAGAACCTTTTTACTTGCACTGTACACTCGGCACTTGACAAACACAAGGTACGATAATACGCCAACGGCGGACTGTACTATACTGGAAGAAGAAGAGGAGTAAGCCGGTGAAAAGAAAAACTAAAGTAAAGTAGGTAATTAATACCTTGAAGGCAATAAGGAAACCATCATTCACTCCTTGACCAAGGCCAAGCAAAGCTTGGTCTCCTTAAAGATAAAGACCAGTTCTGGTCATGCGATTGCATTGTGAAAGAAACGTTGTGGAATCGATCAGAAATGGTTGATCATCTAGCATATATAAGTATACTATTGGTGTGTACTGCAAGGTTCTGGAATCATCAAAATGATAAGAAATTTGGCCCAGTCTTCGTAAAGTTACAAGCACTGTAATAATAATAATAATAATAATATGTCTCGTTTACCCAGGGTAGCCTCATCAATATTCATACAGAAAGATGTATATGGGACTACGCACCAATAGATAAACTAATTTACCAAATATATCAATTACTATTACTACATGTAGTAGGAGGTTTCCCGGCAAAATTTTTATCATCATGTATTAGTCAAAACATACTCTTTCACATGATTGGTAATAAGAGCTTCCATTTCATTTTAATTGAAATTGGGGCGTTTCCAATACTGGTCTTTACCTTTAACCTTAACTTTTTTAGTTTACCATGTTTACTCATAGTTTAGTCAGTTACATTACAGTGCTGATGAATGGGTGGTTTCCAAAACCCAAGATATAGACTCTATTATTATTATAACCACAAGCTCAAAGCCCTTGTTTCGATGATTCCAACATATGATATCATATCCCATACTAATTAATATACTTACCTATATAGAGGCATCCATAAGGCACTATTGAGAATTTGTCCCGAAACGAAGCCATGCCCATAGATCTAGCAATTCTGCTGGCGTTGCCGTTGGGCAGCGGAACTGGACATCCGAAAATCTGTAATGTTTGTGAGCAGAACCAGGCATAACATGTAGACTACGTACCGGTACATAGACTCTGCAATGTCAAGGACCATGTACCCATGCAATGTTCCTCATTTGATCTCTCCGTCATTTGTTTGTTCTTGAAATCGAAGTCAGTTAATGTGCATATAATGACATACAATTAACCTCGATGTATCCTAGTCTCCTAGACAGATCGAGCGTATAATGCATGCGAAGCTAGCTAATTAGAAGACGAGTTAGTACCATTGCATTGAGTACAATTGTACCGCGGTACAATGAACGTACAAGCTCCCTGATAAAACGCACCGTACGTACAGTACGGTACGTGCTTCCGCAAGACATCACTCGCTGTGCGCGGATGATGACTCAAAAACGTATGATAGGTTGCTTATAAACAACACGGAAAAAGGTGTCAAGGTTATGAGAATGGCTACATAATAGTTTCCCTTGTATGGTTTTGAAATTGTGTCAAATCAAATATCCTCCTTGGTCAAATGTAACTGAAATTTGAAGACATGGACAAGACAACCATAATAAGTGGTGGTGGTGGTTATTTTACCTGACAACTATATTAAGAAAGCAATAAATGCTTGTTTTTGTAAACAACCAGAGGACCGACGGCTTTAGGTCCTCTCCGAGGGACATGGTAATGAGGATTAATGCCTTACCAAAGGGCACTAGCGCATCGAATTGGTTTCGAACCCGGGTCACCGGATTACGAGACCACTGCTCTACCGACTGAGCGTAGTAGATCGCGCCTATCGAAAATCTCGAAAAGCTGAGCCCATAGATTTGCAGCAATATGGGTACTTTTGACCTACAAAAAAATATCAACTGCCATATAGCTGGTAAATTAAAAACATGTCCCACCCCTAGAATCTCTTCGAAAGGCTGTGAAATGGGATTTAGTTATATATGGAATTTTGAAACATGGACTATGGGTATGCCTCAGAGGCGTCCCTCCGGGGGGGGGGGGGGCACATGCAATGCCCCCCTCTTTTTCAAGCATCCGGAAATTGCCCTTTTTTAATGCGGAAAAGTGTCCCTTTAACTTTGTAAGAAGTGCCCGTTTTTACATAGGAATAGTGCCCCTTTTAATTTGTAAAAGTGCCTCTTCCCCTTTTCAACTCTAATAAATGCCCCATTTATTTGGACAAGTTCCCTTTTTCCTTTGCAATAAGTGTCCAAGTTCCATTCTCATAAGTGCCCTTTTTAATTTCTAGTAAACGCCCCTTTTCAGATTCGAGAAGTGCCTCTTTTCAATTTTGATTAGTGCCCCCTTCACCTCTAATAATTGCCCTATTCAAATCTGAGAGGTGCCTCTTTTACTTTGACACTGAGTGCCCCTTTTCCTTTGTAATAAGTGCCCCTTCCCCTTTTAATAACTACCCCCATTTTAACTCGGATAAGCGCAACTTATATTTTCACATTTGCAACTTTTCCTTTCTAATAAGTGCCCCTTTTCCTAATGATAAGTGCCCCATTAAAAAGAGCCCCTTCCCCTTTCTCTGGTAAATTACCCTTTTCAGGTACGAGAAGTTACTCCTTTTCACTTCAGATAAGTCCTTAACCTCCGAGAGAGGCCCCTTTAAAATCTGATCGATGCCCAATTTCTTTCAACTAATGCACATCTCCTTTATTATAAGTGCCCCTTTTCATATCTGGCCATTGCCCCTTTTCAGGTGCGATTTTATTGTCTCTTTTTACTTCTGATAATTTCCCTTTAAACAATGATACGTGCCCCTTTTCCTTTCTAATAAGGGGCCAATCCCCTTTTCATAAATGCCCCTTTTCACCTCCTGTAAATGCCCCTATCAAAATCTGGTGGGCCCCTTTTCCGTCGACAAATGCCCATTTCCTATTCTCATGACTGAATTTTTGTTATCCCTGGTGAGTGCCTCTTTTTGAGGGTGTAAGAAGTGCCCCATTTTCACCTCTGATAGTTACTCTTTGTACTTAGACACATGCTCCTTTCCTTTCTGATAAGTGTCCCCTTTTCCTCTCATCATTCAACGCGCCCCAAATTTCAAACGACTAAGAGCAATTCCTCCCAAAGCTCGCTCGCTGCGCTCGCACCCATCTATAGATGATATACTTATGTTACTTATCAGAGGTCTTTTCAGACTTCCATTATGAGAATGTGCTTATAATCCCATCAGGGTTGGGTTTTTCCTCTTTATTAGATTTAATTTTTCGCACTGCGATCTCGCAAATAATTTTTCAGACCATCACACCCAACTGCAAAGCATAATGCTTATAAGCAATATCTTGTATGGTGTATAAAGTGGAACAATATTGAAATCATCCCTGATAATGTAATCATAATGTAGGGGTAATCTCAGTTTCAGTTTCAGTTTTATTTTCATATTTCACACATGTTGTATAATACATCATTGCATTTAGCATTTTACATTTGGAACTCGTTTTAGGATGCGTTTATACAAACAAAAAAGAACGATACATAAGACTAAGTTGAATAAGGGAAGAAATATGATGGAGCCTAAAGAGAAAGCAATGCTTGTAGGTCATAGGCTCCGGAAGTTACCATGACATAGTCTTGTGTATATTAAAAAACGTAATTTAATTAAATTGAAACTTATTATGAAGAAAAAATAAACAATATTCATATACTTAGCAATATTTGTATAACATTTTCACTACCCGTACGCAATGGCAATTCTCATAGGAGCATACCAAGATGTCGGCATCAATTATTGACAGGGAGTGTCGCTGGCTGTGTGCCGGGAAAGTACGATATTGTAGAAAATTTAAGTGTAGCCGCGCTGGCGAACAGACTGGTTGGCAATGACGCCAGCATCTTGGTATGATGGAACAAAAATGAATAGAACATTTTTATATGTTTTTTTTTTGATACACATTAATGTAAAAGTAAATAATGTTAGCCCGATGACAAGCCGCCATATCCACCTGTCGTAATCACTGGAACTCAACAGCAGGAGCGCGAAGTGCATAACCCGTCGCTGGATACCAATGTCTAAAAGATTGTATATTTTCGCTTTGAGATTTCCCTTTTTAGGTGCCCTTTTTTCAGAAAGTGCCCTTTTTCTTGGTGCCCCCCCCCCCCCACTTTGGAAGTCGCTTGGCTGCCCCTGGTAGGCCTACTTTAGACCTTCGAAAAAATCTCTCAACTGCCAGCTAGACCTTTTCATAATATATTGAGATAATTGAGTAGACCTACACTGTCTTGATCAGACATACTGTTTTTCTGGGCTTTGGTTATGCCAAGATAAACATATCCATTAACAACATCAATGTCTCAGTTTCCTACTTCGAAAAGAGAGGGGATATTCCTCACTTTTGCTCTCGGGAAAATAAATTGAATAACTAGATAGAGAGAGAAAGAGAGAGAATATCATAAACGATAATATCATAGTCATCTTCCCTAAATACGCCTGGAAATGTGCAATTCTTATTTTGGTATCTATCATTACAATATGGTTAGGCATGTGAAGGGGGTGCTTTATTTCTAAAAAATCTTTGCAGTAGTGTATTGTATGGGAGGGAATTACAAGACATTTTCTTACTGAGGAGCCCGAGGAGACAGGTGAAAACAGGTGAACGTGTTGTTATGAAGTTTGCACTCCATCTATTCCTCGTCAAAACACAAAGAGCGTCCTCTGGTGATCACCAAACCAGTCAGCCGGGTTTCTTTCCGTATTTTGCTGGCATCCATGTGGATCCTATAGCTCTCCAATGGAAATGCATACTAGCTGTAATCAGGGAAGAGAGAGAGAGGGAGAGAGAGAGCGAAAGAAAGAGAAAGAGAAAGAGAGAGAGAGAGAGAGAGAGAGAGAGAGAGAGTCAGAGAGAGAAATAGTGATGCTAGCCGATTAAAAAGTAACGTAGTCAGTATCCTTTTTTTATTGACTTTTCGTTTTCAATTGTGACTCATTAAAAGTAAATGTGCATGCAAAGAGTAAAGATAACTGAATCAAATTAAAAATAAATCTGAATCAAACAAATTAAAATTAGATAAGATAACATTGAACCAAAATTCATTTTCCTTTATGATATTAAAGCTCTCATTTAAAGCTCCCATGCACTGACATGAAAATATTACATGACTTTGATAATGAGCTGAATTGAATCGAAATAAATTGAAGGAAAAATGGAAGCCTTAGGATGGGGTATTTACCTTTATCGCAAATACTGGAAGAATGCTGAGACAGCAGTCGAGCTCCCAGGTCTATCTTCTTGTACTCGTTCTCTTTAAAGCCGAAAGACCAGTTCTGGTCATGCGACTGCATTGTGAAAGAAACGTTGTTAAATCGATCAGAAAAGGTTGATCATCTGGTATATAACTATTGGTGTGTACTGCAAGGTTCTGGAATCATCAAAATGATAAGAAATTTGGCCAAGTCTTCATAAAGTTAGAAGCACTGTACACAGAAAGATGTATATGGGACTACACATACGTGCGTGACATGTGCATTTCATATCTCTCAACAGGCAAGAGATACACTAATTTACCAAATATATCAATTAGTAGGCGGTTTTCCGTCAAAATTTTTATCATCATGTAATATTCAAAACATATTCTTTCACATGATTGGTAATAAGAGCTTCCATTTCATTTTTTGAAATTGGGGCGTTTCCAATTGGTCTTTACCTTTAATAATCATTTTCAGTATATACGTTTTTAATGTAACAGATAAAACAGAGATCGACAAAGATTTCTTGTTATTAAATGAGCATCGCAATTATGATACATTCTTAAATGCATGTTAGATTTATTTAAAAAAAATATTGTTTCCATCCCCCTCCTTCTGACAGAATCCTGAACTTACCTCTGCTTAAACGGAACTGTTGAGTACACTCAGTATATAGAAAGGTGTCTAAAGCTCCTGGGCACATTTAAGGTTTGTGTAGACTTTGTAAGAATGTGTGTCCCGGGTGTGTGTCATCATTTGTCGGTTGAGTAGTCATGTGAAACTCGTAAAGAGCAAATAGTCGCTTTGTTACTTTGCTTTGATGCTCGTGGGTATTTGTCTCCAGGAGTAGGTATTGTCCTCTTTCATTATGTGGAGCAGCTCCAATAAAAACCTGTCA